AACATGTCTTCAAATGTATGCAAAAAATTAATATAATTAATAATTCGTAAGGTAACAATGTCGGAAAAAATTTTTATGGAAAAGAGAAAAATATGGCTTAAATGCGTATTTCTAAGCATTTTCTAAAAATCATAAAAAAATACAAGAAAAATTATTTTTGAAAATTTTTTTTTGCAGTTCCTTTTATTTTTGTTTACAGAAACTTTTTGCATCCAAAAATTTTAGTTTTGAAGCCGAGGGAAAGTTTTTTTTTTCACTTTTTTTTTTAAATTGCCCTTTTCAATAAGTATAGAATGAATTGAGAAAAGTATGGTATCATTCAAATGGCATTTGAATTACCTTTCCATTGATACCAAAAGTTAAAAGAAGCAAGTTCAAGTTTCGAGTATATGTATTTCACTTTTATTTTGACAAAATACTTCTGGCCACCACTGTATAAGAATTTTCGTCTCAGTTTTCGTATTAACGGAAATTAATGGAAAAACAAGAAAGGAAGCCAGCTTCGGCAAGCCGAAGCTTATATACCCTTGCAGTCATTAAATATGTCGAACAAATACATAAAGGCTTAACAACATCGAAGTTATGACGATTCTTCTCTTAATTTTCCATATTGTTCATATGACAGCTATATGATATAGTTGTCCGATTTTGATCAAATTTAATTCGTAATTCAAGAGTCGTTAGAAAACTCTATACAGTAGAATCCCGGTTATCCGGATCAATTAAAACCAGGGGTATTCCGTATAATCGAAAATCCGGATAACCGATTTCAAAGCAAATCAAATAATATTTAAGATTTTTAATCATTTTTATACCCTTGCAGAGCAAAAGGGTATTATAATTTCAGTCAGAAGTTTGCAACGCAGTGAAGGAGACACCTCAGACCCCATAAAGTATATATATTCTTGATCAGCATCACGAGCAGAATCGGAAAACGCCTGTACGTCTGTCCGTCTGTCCATCTGTCCGTCTGTCAGTTTCCGCCCAAACTAGTCTCTCAGTTTTAAAGCTATCTTTCTGAAACTTTCCCAAAAGTTGTGAACCTATTGCACGCAGTATATAAGTCGGAACGGGCCGGATCGGGCGACTATATAAAATAGCTCCCATACAAGAAATTGAAATATAAAATTCTAACGCCGATGTTTTTGATCAGATCGACTTCAATTCTTCAAGATAGCGTTTTCTAACTACTATTGAATTATGGATTAAATTTTATCAAAATCGGATAACTCTATCATATAGCTGCCATAGGAGAGATCGAAAAATATATATATAATTAATGGAAATAAATTGATAACATCGCTGTTTTTTATCCCACGAGCATGATTTTTTGAATATCAAGTTTTTTAACAACCCTTAAATTGAGAAAAAAGTTTCATAAAAATCGGACTACTATATTTTATAGCTACCATAGGGAAGATCAAAAAATCTATGAAGAAATAACGAAATTAAAATTATAACTTCGTTGTTTTTTATCAGACAAGTATGATTTTTGGAATATAAAGTTTTCTAACGACTCTTGAATTACTAATTAAATTTGATCAAAATCGGACAACTATATCATATAGCTGCCATATGATCTATAGTCGAAAATATGGAAAATTAATACAAAAATTGTCATAGCTTCGATGTCGGTTAGCCTTTATGTATTTTGTTTGACATATTTGATTTCGGCAAGCCGAAGCTAGCTTCCTTTATTGTTTATTATGGAATAGGTTTTAATTAGATAACACGATACATAAAAAACAAGCTATAACGATAGATAATGAACTACATAATACCTATGTAATTTAAAATTTTGGTTGGAAATAACTTGTTATAGATTTTTGGCGAACGAATGAGTCCGGATAATCGGATGTCCGGATAATCGATGTTCGGATAATCGGGATTCTACTGTATTCCAAAAATCACGCTTGTCTGATGAAAAACAACGATAATTTAATTTAATTTCCGTTATTTCTATACAGATTTTTCGATCTTTCCTATGGCAGCTATATGATATAGTACTCTGATTTTTATGAAATTTTTTTCTCGATTTAAGAGTATTTAAAAAACTTGATGTTCCAAAAATCATGCTAGCGGATTAAAAACAACGACGTTAAAATTTTTTTTTCATTATTTATATATGAGGTTGTTTGGTAATGACATACCGGTTTCTTTATCGATTTTTGACGACGATTTTATCATAGTTAGCATTTTTCGATTTAAGTGCTATATGTGCCGTTGTCTTCGATGATTTTCTGCCATTTTTGGCTTGTATATGCCTCTCCTAAAGAAGTCCTTGCCCCTACTGGCAAAAAACACGGCGATTCGATTTTCACAATCCTCCCTTGAACTCAATTTTTGTCCATCAAAAAAATTTTTCATAGCCAAAAACAGATGGTAATCGCTGGGGGCAATCTCCGGACTATAAGGTGGATGCATTAACACTTCCCAACCAAGCTCCCGTAGCTTGTGACGCGTCACCAAAGATGTATGGGGCCTGGCGTTGTCATGATGGAACACAACGCCCTTACGATTCACCATGGCTGGCCGCTTCTGTTCAAGTGCAATCTTCAATCGCTCCAGTTGTTCACAGTAGAGGTCAGAATTGATGGTTTGGCCATGGGAGCAACACTTCATAATGGATAATTCCTCTGATATCCCACCATACACTCAGTAACACCTTCCGAGCCGTCAGTTCTGGCTTTGCCACCGTTTGAGACGACTCACCGTGCTTCGACCAAGATCTTTTACGCTTTATGTTGTCATATGTGATCAATTTTTCATCACCAGTGACTAACCGATCCAGAAATGAGTCGAGTTTATTACGGTGCAACAAAGATTTGCAGATTGATACACGGTCGAAAAGGTTTTTTTTGGGATAACTCATGAGGCACCCATACATCGAGCTTTTTTGTTAAATCTTTCAACTTTAAATGCCAATGGACGGTTAGTTGCAGCTCCTCTGCGATGGTTCTAATAGTCACATGACGATTTCGATCCCCTATTTCCATGATTTTATCCGTATCAACGGTCACTGGCCGTCCGGAAGGCTTGGGTATTTCGGTATCAAAATTGCCAATTCGGAATCGCCTAAACCACTGCTCGGCGGTTTAAAGTTTTTCCCTGTGCGAAATAAAATTTCAAAATTGCCCGAGTTTCTGCGTTTGTGAACTCCATTTCAATCGATTGTAATTTTTTAACATGGAAGCTCATGTCTATATGTCATTTTAAAGGTGATGCCAATACCTTTCAAACGATATACAGCATTGCCAGATACAATTATATTTGACTTCACAAGCGAAGCGCTAAATTTGAATGTAGAAACAACAACAACAAAAACAAACAACCTAATATATATACTTTGATCTCTCCTATGGGAGCTATATGAGTTATCCGATTTTGATAAAATTTAATCCGAAATTCAATAGCAGTTGGAAAATGCCATCTGGAAGAAATCAAGTCGATCCGATCAAAAACAGCTGCCTGAGAATTTTTTATTTCGTTCTCTCGTATTGGAGCTATCCGATATAGTCGGCCGATCCGGCTCGTTCCGACTATATACTGCGTACAATAACTACACACCTTTTGGTAAAGTTTCAACAAGATAGCTTTAAAACTGAGAGACTAGTTTGAAGAGAAACGTACAGACGGACAGACAGACAGACGTACATACATATTTGGAGTCTGATCGTGATGCTGATCAAGAATATATATACTTTATGGGGTCTGAGGTGTCTCCTTCACTGCGTTGCAAACTTCTGACTGAAATTATAATACCCTTTGCTCTGCAAGGGTATAAAAATGATAAAATCGTTGTTTTTCATCAGAAAAGCATAATTTTTGAAATATAGTTTTCAAATTACTCTTCGAATTAAGTTTCATAAAAATCGGACGACTATATCATATAGAATTCATAGGAAAAATCGTCGAATATATAGAAACTTCATAGATAAATCGGCATAGCTTCGGTGTTGTTTAGCCTCTATCTATTTGGTTTGACATATTTGATGACTGCAATATATAAGCTTCTTCTTTTATATCCAGATTAATTCTGGACAATTCTGTAATGCTTGTCACTTTAATTTAATTTTCCCTAAAGCGAACACGGCTTGTGTACATAAAGTTTTGCGAACGTTTGTTTTATGGCTAAAATATATGGCCTTTGGCAATATAATCTGGCATTATACAGATAGATGCGGATGTTTGTGCGCAAATTCTTTTGTGTAGCTTTCTCTTTAATCTTAACAATTATTGTAAATGTTGTTTTTCGATTTTTCTAGAACCAATTCCCCCAACCAATTTCCCCATTACTACGATTGTCCAAATAATACAAAACCATTTTTTTCTCAATGTCTTTAGACAATTACAGTGTGCAAGGCCGTAAACCTAACAATAGCATAGCAAATATCCCAATTTTTTGAAAAAATTTAATTTAATTTTTGAAAAAATTAAAAAATTAACAATTTATCAAACAAAATTATAACAGCTTTGTTTTTAACAACTCATGAATATCGAATTCAATTTCATGAGAATCAAGACGTCCGATATCAAAAATTATGGAAAATTAATAAAAAAAAATTGTTATAAGTGCAAGGAAATATCAGCTTCGGCTCGCCGAAGCTAGCTTCTTTGTTTTAAAATTTAATCACTATCTGCCAAGAATCATGGATGTACGGAATTTTTTTACGATAATATGCATGTTACTAATTCATATCGGACATATGCATGTTACTAATTAATATCGGACCACTACATTATATAATATAACTGCCAGAGAAATGAAAAAATTAATGAAAAATTCGACCAAACTAGGAATCTTTAGATTTGTGATGACTGCAAGGGTGTAGAGGCCTCTGCTTGCCAAATCTTGCGCCCTTTCCTATTGGTTTTATTTCAGGTTGTGTGGTGGGGAAATATTTTGGTTGAAATCGCAGTTTTTTTTCTAAACCGTATCCATTTAAAAATATTTAAGGCTCGTGTAAAATAGTCCACAAATAAAATTGGGTTTCATTTACCTTAATGAAGAGGTTACGAAGGGATCACCCCTTGACTTTGCTTCTCTGCTAAGCATTAATCGAATTATTTCATTCGTTGGTTCTTCATGTTTTAACAACAATAGAAAGTGACTTAATGCTTCGGGGTGACTTCCAGCTTCCAGTTCTGGTAGTAGGTCCTAAAGAAACAGCCCAACTTAATAATTAAGAAGGTAATTGAATCGGTCAAATTACTTACCTGAATACTTTTTAATGGCACATCATGAGCTTGAACAATTTGCCATAGGCAAAACTGTTCGTAGGTCTCAAACTCAAGACTTTCTCTAATACAATCAATAAGTCCATCTTGTTTAAAGATTGTAAGCTTTCCTTGGGCTACCGAGTATATGATATCGCGGACATTTTTAGCATCTATGCAGCGAAGTGTAATTCGCAAAAGATCTGTGTTATTGGTGGCTATTGACTTAAACTCTCTGTATACGTCCGGAAGTAGCCACAAAAAAATATTAGTGTTTTCCCTTTCAAGCAGATCAAGGTCTCGCACCAAGCAATTGCCGATCTTATCATCTACCGCATCGCAAATTTGTCGGTAAATACTGATTTTAAATTGATATGCTTGCTGGGAATTTTTTCGCGTTTGAAGCTTGCAATAAGTTTTCATAAAGTACAGTAGCAAGTATCCAATTTCAGGTATGCGTTCGCATATTTCAGAAAGTAACATTTGAAATGGCTTTTTACTTTTTTCGTCGTTTTCATAAAGAAATCGAAACAGTCCATACAAGGGGTAACTAATACTCTTCGCCAAATATTTTTCTTCAGTCTTGCTCTCTGAAAAAATATTTTGTTGCGGCAAAGTCTCTCGTAGAATTGCAACAGTATTGGATATCACGTAGTTAAGCTGCGACTCCTCAAAAGCAGAGGCTGGTAATGGCCGAAAATCTTTTAAAAATGCTTCCCATGTATATGAGTTCCGCTTTGTAATAAATGCTTCAAACGACTCAGCTATTGATTCGTGCAATTCAACCTTAGGTTTTTCCTTTAGTCTCACCTGAAATATACATTTGATTACTTTTCTTATAAGTTGTTTAAATATTTACCTTTGACAAGGGCAAGTCATCATCGTCATCAGTGTTCTCGTCGATTTTATTTATTTTCTTCAAATTTTCGGACATTTCGTCGCTAAAAACACTTTCAATTTCTAGGTCCGTTGGCGTCGGTGCAATTTTATTACACTCATCTACCAAAGATAAGGTGGTTTCATTATTACTGTTAGGCCCAGTTCCCATTAGATCAACGTTTTCTGGTACTGAATATTTTCACAAAAAAAATTTTTTTATCAAATATATATTAAGGAACTTCAATACTCACCACCATGAAACGTTCGCTGATCGCAGTCTTTTTTTAAAAATTGAACAGGACTTGGGTAAACTAATGGGTAAATGGGTTGACCGATACTGGTAGCTGGTGAAACAAACTCTTTAAAATTTTCCCGTATTAAACTACGCAGTTCTCTATCAAGCTTCGGCGACTCAAAAAGGGGCTGTATATTTGGTATAACCTGGATTTAACAAAAATGATTAACTTCAAAATGTTTTTGTGTTTGTTAAATTACCTGCTTTTCCAGAATCAATTTTAACGAATTATTGACACCCAATCGAATTTTATCTTCATGAGAAACACAAAAATTTTTTGTAATTCGACATAGGAAATCAAGTAACGTGCTACTGACAAAAGGATGATTTCTAATAGAGTGGTACATAACAAGAATCCCAGGCTCTATGTTCATAATATTATCTTTTATAGGATCAAAAAACAACCAATCATAAAATAAGGACAACTTTGCATTTGCTGATGCAATCGGATTGGTGCACGACGAAATAAGCCAACCTATTATGGCCCATCGCGGTATAATATCTGAACACAGCATATCATTTGTTGGATGTATTACATTTATAATAAATCGAATCAAGTCTGACCGTAAGCTGTGAGACTCCAGTGTTGCGAAATATTTATCCTGGAACCAATCTTGGTATCTTTTCTGATTGCCAAACTTAACAGACGATGCTAAAAAGCTTATTTTTCGTTCCATCTCTGGTAAAAGACGACATTGAAGAAACCTTCTACTTGTCCGAATTTGTAGCAACTGCCATATTCCGGTAAATGTCGGATGTAAACTTTTTGGATTATAAAGAATATCTCGCCATAGTTGCTCGAATTCTGGAATGCGGGCTACGTTCTGTAACAGGCTGTTTTAAAACAAATAGATTAAAAGTAATATTATTATGATAAATTGTTTAGACTATACTCAAACCAAAAAAATTTTCGCATCAAAATTTAAAATTCTTCTATAAACAAGAAAGAAAGCGAGCTTCGGCAAACCGAAGCTTATATACCCTTGCAGTCATAAAATATGTCGAACAAAATTGCATAAAGGTCAAAAACTGAGACTGGTTTAAAGAGAAATAGACAGACCGACGACGGACAGACGTATTTCGATTCAGACCGTGATGCTGATCAAGAATATATATACTTTATGGGGTCTGAGGTGTCTCCCTTACTGCGTTGCAAACTTGTGACTGAAATTATAATACCCTTTGCTTTGCAAGGGTATAAAAAACGAGACATAAATTAGGTCCATATTTAAAACGGTAAGTCTACAAAAATTTTGTTCATTAAGGGGGTCTTCCTATGTGATGGGTTGAAAAAATCGATTTTTTTCTTTTTTCATAAATTGCTCCCTTAACATGTCTAGAATACGGTAGTAAAGCGATTTTAGAAAATTCGAAGTCGTTTTAAAGATACAGCAGGTAAAAGAAAGAGCGGTTCGAAGCGCTGAGTTGGCAGTTAGAAACTTTAAACGCGTTTTTCTCAAAACTGTGTTTTTCAAACTTTCCTCCATTGTATCTCAGAAACGGCTGGGCCGAATTACTTGAAATTTACAGGGCACACTCAATATATGTAAACGCATGGAATGAACTATTATCAATCGAAAATTTTCAAAACTTCGATTTTTTTATAGCAAAAAAAAAAAAAAAAAACGCCAAATTTACAACTTTTTTTTCAAATGTCTATCAAAAATCCAATTTTTTTTTATATTCATTTGATTGTAGTTCATTCCGTGCATTTAAGCCTACAAATTAAAACGCCGTTTATTTTTTTTTTTTCTGATAAGCCGATCAGCCGGAATCGTGGAGGAAGTGGGAGCTCTTTTTTTCGATGCGGGGGTGTTCAGAGCGCTGTAACTCTAGTTTGACCGAATATTTTTTGCTGAAATTTTTTATTTATACTGTCCAAATATGTGTTAATAAATGATAAAAAAGTTGAAGCTCTAAATATTTACTGGTCGTAGAAAAAAAATCCTAAAATAACCCTAAAAAACAGGCCGTCACATAGGAAGACCCCCTTAAATGCAATAGTATGCAAGAGAAATGTAACTATATTTATAACTTAATATAAGGTTTGACAGTTACCGTACAAAATCCCTTCCTAGAGGTATAACATCATGGAAACGTTCCCTTATCAACGATATTGTAAACTTCACTTCTTTTTGACGGAGAGGCATCAATGCAGGGTTGGCGTGGTCCTCTATAATGCGGACGTAACTGTAAACGGTGGACTGTACAAGAAATGGATTGCCTTCTAACCAAGTTCTATACTCGATAAAAATATCCAAAAGGCTCTCGATAAGAAAAAGATTTTTGTGGGACGCATCTCCTCCGCCAGCCTGTCGAAGACAGTTCCAAATAACGTTTTCGACACTAAGTACTTGATGTTTAACGAATTCCCGTAACACCCATATTAATTGTCTCCGCGCTATATCCGTTAGCTTAGCATATTTCTCGGCGACTAGCACAGTGAGGTTTGCAACTATACCATTCATTCCATCTCTAGCTACAAGTGTTACGTCTCGGTATGTTTTAGGAGCTGTGGCAGGATCAGTTAACATTATATAGAGAAAACCAATAGAAATCTCCTCGTGCTGCTTGTCTTTACACACGATCTGCGACAATGTATCGTGCATCTCCTTTTCATCAAGTCCACCGATTTGCAACTGGAGATTAATAAACGCTCGCTCAAATTTCTATAAAGAAAATGTTTTAAAAATACTACGTATATATATTTTTTTATTTAAAATGTGGTTCAAATGTTCAAACCTCTTCAATGTCATCTTTACAGTCAACAGTTGTACAGACAAATAATTTAGAAACGTGAGCAGCACTTTTCTGTTGTTGCTGCTCCATTATTTAATTAATGTTAAAACTTATTTATTATGCTTTTATTGGAACTTGACTTTTTTTCATTGCACCAAAAAAAAACAAAACACAAATCCTTCGCTGAGTTGTTTTATTAATATTTTCTATTTGGATTCAAAGACAAGATATATTACAAAAAATTATGTTTTGGTAAGTGTTGCCAAATTCAACAAGCAGGGACGAGCGAAGTACGTCAAGTTAGCGTCAGATGGTGACTAACAAATTTGAAACAGCGTAATAAAGAACAAGGAAAGTGTTTTTTTTTATGTATAAGACAATCAACGAAAGAAAAATCATTTGCAATATAATAAGAATCCAAACATAAAAACATAAAAATTTAGCCTATCAGGCAGGCTCCGGTTTTCACTTTCACAAGATTCTCTCGTTCCCGTTTTCACTTTCACAACACTTTTTCGTTTTCAAAAACGGGCAAGTTTTTTTGTCAAAATGAAAAGTAAATGCCTTTTTCTACATTAAACCCCTTCTTAATTGCAAAAGGAAAAAAGTAGTTGACTCCTTGGTCTATTGATGTTCATTTCACACCATCAGTAGATCAGTCTAATTCGTATTTACTTTTTGAATAATTATTTTCTGACCCCATCTTGATTTCATAAATAAAAATATTTGCCGTCGGCAACAACAACTTTCGCTTTGCTGAGGGGTCGATAAATCTATTGCCAAAAGTTGTCGTGAATGCTGCCGTACTTGCAGTGGAACAAAACAACCACTTAAAAATACTTATAATGAAAAAGAAGAAAAAAATATTTGTAAAGAAAGTTAAATAAGCTTTTATAAATAAATATGATTAATTTCAGTTGTTTGAACAGTGAGAAACGATGTAAAAATGAAATATTCCGATAACGAAACGATGGCAATTGTTTGTGAAAACCGGAGCACCTAAACCGAAAACGTTAGTTTTCGCCCAAAAACGAAAACGAAAAAAAAAAGTGAAAACGGAGCCTGCCTGTATGAAACGTTATTAAAATAACCTACATTTTTCAGTAAGTTGGCTTTCAAATTTGATGTTCTTTCAAATCAAATTCAATTTTTCCCAAATCCAACACAAAGGCAATTTACAATAATGTTTGATCGCCATATTAATCAAATTCCACTCTGTGAAAGAATTCGTCTTTTGGGGAATAGGTACAGTAAAATTGTCTCATCAGATAATTAAAAGTGTGCAATATACGTATTTGCGACCACAGTCAGAAAAAAAATTAGATTTTCATGGTTCAAGTCAGGGCTGGAAAAACTGTCGTAAGTGTCATTATAACCTCCCTGCAGTTCTGGCTGTCACCCGGTATCTTTTGGCATATAAGCAATCAATGTGAAGGAAAGGAAAAGGGATATTCCTAAGTTTCCCCCTCTTTCTCACTCTTCGAATACGATCTCGTTGCTTCCACCCGACGGCGGCCCGACTCCAAATTTGTCTTCTATTCTTTCGTTTTTCTAATTGCACTGTTGTCATTCTCCGTTAGAAACAAAAAATTGGTTTTCGATGGAAAATACGGCTTAGGGGCGCTCGACTTATGTATACTCTTTTGATGTTAAAGTTCTTCAAATATTAAATATTATATATATATAAAGTTATATACATATATAATATATTTTATATATACAACATTATTTAAATTATTGAACAAATATAACCATAACATAACATTGATTGCAAATATAGATATAATATAACTCGCGTGTCATTTATGGTCGGTTATACCCAAAAAAGAAGGGTATACTAAAAGGGTGCAAAATAAAATTGAACTGCTCATTCTTTTGCGTTGTGCGTTGACAGTTAGTTGTGAAATTACTTAATTTGCGCAATTTGGGCAGCGGAATTGTTTAAAAATCATGTAAGTGTCGTTAAGATTAGAAAAATATTATGTCTTTTACTACAAAACAGTGGCGGATCCACGGGGGGGGTTTTCGGGTCCGGACCCCCCCCATGGGATCATATACTTTCAAATTTTATGCTTTTATTGGGCATGTTGGTGGAGTTGAAACACCAAGTTATTAATAAAAATTCGTAATTTTTTGAATGTTTTATAAAAATTTTAATTTATTTTCGAATAATAAATCAAGAAAAAATATTACATATGATCCACAAACGGTTCTATTCACTCTAAATTTCCGAGGTTTTTCAAAAAACTTTCTGAGAATTTCGTCTTCAGTCGAAGTTATGCGATGATGAATGTTCAAAGATGCAAGACCATTGAGACGCTCTTGACCCATCGTGTTTCTCAGATAATCTTTCATTCTCCTCAAAGTCGAAAATGATCGTTCTGGAGTTGCTGTGGTAACGGGTATCACCGCCAAAACCCATTGGGACAGTTTTAGATCAACCAAAACAAACATTTCTATCAATAGGCTTTGGGTCTTATTCTTGGTTGAATCTAAATCGATTCCATTTAGCCAAGTTATTGACACTTTTCACCAAACCTTACCAAAATCCTGGATCCGCCACTGACTACAAACTTATTTAAATCTTTTTAGGATTCAGCCTGTATGTACGATAAATTCGTTTGAAAGGTAAGTTTGCTTTAAATTAAAAAAAGTAATACATATATAATATGTAATAATAAAAATATTTTTTGTACCATAGATGGACGCAAAACAGCCGTTGTCCTGCAAATATTCCACATAAATGGTAAACAAAAACTTTCTAATTTCATATTATTTATGTACTTATCTCTTATGTTTCAAAATAAGATTAATTAATAAAATAAAATAAAAATATATATATATATATTGTTTTTCATATGAATTTGGGGATGACATTTTAGACATTTAGACAACATCGCCTTCACGTCAGCAACGAAAGCATCAATAGCTTATACGAATTTTCTCCATACAAAATTCGTATAAGCCATCGATGCCTCGCTCGATGACTCGGACAAAATGGTCATCGAGAGCGACATGCATGTCAAATCCTTAAATGCCATACAACAACTTTATATGAAATGACATCAGTGCGGATCCAGGTGCTTCGGACACTGACATCAGTGGGTAGTCGTCCATGTCATCCACGACAAGGCACTTTTGGAACTGCAGGGCTTGCAGAGCAAAAGGGTATTAGAGTTTAAGTCAGATCTGAACGATCTGAATCGAAATACGTCTGGACGTCTGGCCGACTGTCTGTTTCTCTTTAAACTAGTCTCTCAGTTTTGAAGCTATCTTGCTGAAACTTTTCCAAAAGTTGTGTAGTTATTGCACGCAGTGTATAAGTTGGAACGGGCCGAATAGGGAAGGACTCCCAGGACTACAACTCCAGCCGCGTAGTCCAGTCCAAATGTTCAAAATTCCGTTGTGTTTAAATTTGTTGTCCAAGTTTGAAATTCCGTTTTTTTTTTTTTTTTTTTTCAGCTGCGTGGGAAAAATTGTGGTTGTTCCCTTCCCTGGGATTACGTTGACTGGCCGGCAACTCCACCGCGCGAAAAGCAGGACGTGACAAACAAAACTTCAATAGCTGCAAAGATCGAGCTTTGGCTTGCATCACCGATGCCAGTACGGCGGAGTGTAGGTTGCAAATGTTGGTATCCTATATAGGCAATTAGCTCAAATTCAGCTGCAAATCAAGGAGTTGGACCCAATCGTTAATTCTAGACTAGAAAATGAAGAGGAATATATTATTGCCAAGTTGATCCTTATGAAAAGGATGACTTTAACCCTTTCGGGACTACTGGGACAATACGTCCCACCCAAAAAACGGATTGGGATTATATGTCCCAGAATAAAAGGATTTTCTCTAACTATCTTGGTTTTCGAAATAAAACCCCGTCCCGAAAGGGTTAAAAAGGCCGCAGCGTTCTGAAGAACTAAACTTCACAAATGCATCATTCTCAGGTAGCGCCAATCACAACCGGCCAGGGACCAGGACATATTGACAGATTGTCGTTGTAGAACTTGCCATGGATTGGATCATTCCGCAATGCATCGCCCAACTGAGACCAAGACAGCGATCGAGAAAGATGACGAGCAAGAGGACTCTCAAGCCAGTTCCTCAACCCAGGTGTTTGCAGGAATTACGCGCAACTCGAGACGCTCGCTCATCCCAACAGCGCTTGTCTAAATAAAGGACAAATTTGGCGTATACCACTCTGCTAGAGCTCTATTAGACTTAGGTTCTAAAGTCAATTTCATTACGGAAACTTTTGCGAAAACACTTCAATTACCATTCAAGGAAAAGAATTTAGTGGTATCGGGAATTGCCAACATTCGAGAACGCATAAAGTTTTCTTTAGAAGCAACCATCAGGTCACGACTAACAGTTGATGAATGGACTCTGCAATTTTCTGTTACAAAATCAATAGCTCAGCAGCAGCCAGAGCGTTGCATAGACATATCACAATGGTCTATCCCTGAAGACATTGATTTGGCGGATCCACAGTTCTTTAAACCTCAAAAGATCGATAAGTTGATTAGTACGTAGGAGGAAGCAAAAGCTAGTTTTATTTCAATTTTAAATTTAACGATCTAATTTCGTGCCAGAAATGTTATTAATAATCGCTTTAGGAGCTACAGAGAGTCAGAAGAAGATACTATAGAAAACAGTCTATTATAGTCCGAACAAAGTACCCTGAAAGGCTCATGCACGTCATAATTAGATTTACAAAGATTTAAAGCTAAAGGAGCATAATTTCTAGTAAATCTACTTGGAACCGAGAAATTTAGTCTACTTAACAAGTAAGCACTGTCAATTTCACCACGTATAAGGTTATGCATAAATACAGTACCAAGCATCGTTCTACGGTTAGTAAGGGAGGGCAAGTTAATAAGGAGCAATCTATTAGGATAGGAGGGTAGTAAGAGGTTTGCATTCCAGTTTAGGCGGCGTAAGGCAAAGATTAAAAAGCTTTTTTGAACTGATCTTATACGATCAGCGTGAACTCCGTATTGGGGACTCCATACTCAAGGATTGGTCGGACCAACGATATAAATCAAATCAAATCAAATTCCACAAATTCCTTAGACCATCGTTTAATAAATCCAAGCATTCCCCTGCTTTATTAACCATGTTCGAAATATGAAAAGAAAATTTAAGTTTAGGGTCCAAGAGGACGCAAAGATCGTCAACAAGCGTTATTCTTTCCAAGGCACCACCACTTAGTGAATAGGTGACATTTTGTGGATTGACCCGACA